TGCTTCTTGGCACCTCTAGCTGATTCCTAATTGAGGATCAAGCCATTTCTTCAGTAAGATCAACTAATTTTTAAAATGCTGACAAAATCTGATGAAAGGATAAAAGAAACTCAAGTACTAAAATCTACATCTGCCATAGTACACAGCTTCTTAGGGGACTTCTTGGGTAGTGAGCCTGAGCAGATTGCTTGGCCAAGTGCCAGCAAGTAACTAATATCACACTCTAATCTGGCTGTGGTTATTTTCTGGCATTTCATGATTCAGTCATTTGAAGACCTGATATTCCCAGCAGACCCTGATTATCCAAGTGTTTTGCATCTCTGTCCTGACATGCTTACTGTATCACAATTCATTTGAGTGGGTTTCCAAGTGATTGAATTTTGAGGTTCTCCATGTTCAGAGACTGATTTTGGCATGAGCAGAAATGGCAACATAAAGGTTAGGCAAACAAAACCAGAATAAATTTGCAATAAAGGTCACACATTGCATCTGTTGATACGCAGATTGGATTCATTATCCCAAATTCCTTTGCTCTTCACATTAGTATCCTTGACAAGCCTAACCAGAATGACGTAGAAACATGCCAGATGAAGAGATGGCCTGAAGTGCAGTTATCCAGATGTACAGTGCACAGAAGGAATCAGTAAGAGCGACCTTAACATGGCACTATGGTATATTGGCAGTGCTAATATATTGCAACAGCAGAGGAGAAAATAGCGTTAGTGAGCTCCAAGTGGCTGAAGACAGCAATTTCACCCTGCCTAAAAGATGAGAAGCTGGAGCATCTTGCAACAGGAGACCAAACAGCCCCCATTCCAATGGGCAGGTGTCAGTGAGGATGACTGGAGAGCAGTCAGCTGGCATATTCCACAGCAACATAGTGCAAACCTCCAAAGAGGTGATACATCACATGGAGATTACTACAGGCCTAATAGCTCATTTATTAGGAAACCATTAATGAATGCAGCCTACAGAAGCACCATGTTCAGCTGCACACTACTTTTCCCAGAAGCAAGCTGAAAGACTTGCACCCTGGAGCACTGGCTGCCAGACAGCTGAGGTTGAATTTTTTTCTAGTCCTCTAGACAAATTTAAGTCAAACAGTTTTGCTGCTCCGACTGCCCAAAAATTCTTAGCAATTTGTATTGTCTGGACTGTTGTGCAAGGATTTCTTATTTTTAATATCTGGCTCACTGGACAGGTACAACTTAAATAAAAGTGGGAGTACAGTAACTGTAAGGCTATTGCCATTTATTATCTGATGTTTTCTACTGGGGGTGTGGAGTAAAAAACACCAGTTCCAGCTTTAAGCTAACTCTCTAGATGAGACACATTTCATCTGGAGGCTCATCATTACAAGGTTCAGAGTACTTTTTAATTCAGGATTTTTTTTTTATTTCATAGAACTGTCCAATACAAGTTTAACACCTTCATCACATTCTTTCTCCTTGATCACCAGTCTCTGCTTAGGTGAGAAGGGGAAAAAAAAAGCAAATATCCCTTTCTCCCCAAAAAAGAAGAAAACAACCAAAACTCAACACTTGAGCTTGCTACTTGCTGTAGGAGACTCATCTGAGTCATGTACAGCCTGGTCTCTATATCCTGCTAGAGCTCTCCAGCAAATCAAAACATTTCTGTTTTGTCCTGGATGCTCTTATGGGGCTTCCCTGATCTTCCAGGTATTACCTGGTTACTTAATTTTAAAGCACTGGCTGAAACCCTGTACATTATCTCCATGGGATTGAGCACAATTCCCATTAATGTAATAGCCTCTCTGCAATATTAATGCCTTCTTCATTAATCATTTCCACATATTAACTTTCAGGATGAAGTTGTCTCTCATGACAATGACTTTTTGAATTCAATCTATTTGTCTTTTCTAACAACTCGAACTAAAAGAAGCAATTCTTTGACAAGAGCCATCTGTCACCAGTGATTAAGTCTCCTTGAAAATAGATCAGGTACATGAGTATGTTTTGCTTGAATCCAATATGCTTAATGCAGCATCTGTCACTAGCATTGAGAATATTGCAAGAGAAGACAATGATTAATTTCAGTAATCGGCTTTTCTACTCTCTTCCAGAACACATAAGGACACCACCAAAACTGTTCAGATGCCTTTGAATCATGAAGTTGAGTCTAAATTTACTAATACTTTCGTGACCTAACATCAGTGTTTCAACTTAAGCACAAACTTGTGTGTTTGTTTGGTTTTAAGCACAGAGCAGCAAGGTCAGATTCGTAATTTTACCAATTAAAGTATGCATAAATGATTTGTGAACAAGTTTCTCAAGACACACTCACTCAGGCCAACTACTTTGAGTTCTTCTATCTTGATCCTTAAAACACAGTATTTAATTTTTGATCTAATTGTATCAACAGAGTTTAGACCCAAATCAACAAACCATGAGATGTAGCAGGAGCTTGGCTCAGGCTTGCAGTCAAGCATCTTTGCTAAAGGAGGAAACCAAGCTCATGTTCTCCTTAATGCCTGACAAGGGTATTAACCACTTCCTATAATTTGGTCCTACACAAGGGGCACGGAATAAGCTATCAGAGCATAACCTGCCTTCTCATAGTCACTTAAATAGTACAAGGCAAAAATTAAGCAGGATCAGAATTTAGTAAATGAAGTTAATGCTATCAGCAGAAAGAATACAATCTGCCCAAGCCAAAGAGGAACATGGAAAGGATCCATGGTTTGAATCAAACCACTCTTATACACTAATCTAACTACAAAACTTAGGGACAGTAAGACTGGTAAACCAGACCACCACGAGGGACTATATGAAGATCTTTAAAACAGTGTCTTTTTAAAGACATCTCCACCACAGTCAAGATGGGAAAAGAGCTGCTTGCTTCGGTCACATTTGGTCTCACCCAGAACCTCACACAGGAGGGGGCAGATCTAGGAAACTCACTCAGTTCACACACGGCCCTTCCTCCTGCGACACGTGATTGCATTTTAGAGCTCTGTACGTGCAAACCAACATTAAGGCAACAGAACCACGGAGTGCCCAGCGACTCACACCCGCCTATCAAAACTTTCGGCTGGAGCATCACCCTGCGGCCCCGACCAGCTGCTCACTGCGCTTTGCCCCGC